CTAGCTAGCATTTCTCTTAACTTCCTGGCCTGGAATTCTGGGAGCCAGGGATCTGAGTGGCGGGTTCCTGATGGCAGCAAGGCCAAGGCTAGACCCTGGGCCTGCCCTTACCCTTTGAGAAGGCGGCGTCTTTCAGCTCCTGGCCAGTCAGCCCACTATTCCACTGGTATTTATTGCCTTTTTTTTTTTAAAAAAGATTTTATTTATTTATTCATGAGAGACACCAGAGAGAGAGAGGCAGAGACCCAGGCAGAAGGAGAAGCAGGCTCTCCATGGGGAGCCTGATGTGGGACTTGATCCCAGGATCATGATCTGAGCTGAAGGCAGACGCTCAACTACTGAGCCACCCGGGCGCCCCTTTATTGCTTTTTAAAAATTGTGTTTATAAAGCGCTCTCCTAGGGACTGCAGGGAAGGCTAGACATGAAATCAGAATCTGATCCCCACCAAGCCTCATAATTAACGATGCAGAACAGTGCTAGGCTAGCAAATTCGCCTTAGAAGGGGAGCTTGCTCTGGGAGCAGAGGGAGAACAACTCTAGGGTGGGGTCACTAGCCAAAATTCTGGGTGGAGCACAGGTCTTTAAAAGAGGACTGGTTGAGAGAGGCCCAAAGGGGGCTTCCCAAATGAAGAGTGGGGGATACAGCATGAGTACAGCCACAGGAAGGCAAGTCCAGTGGCCAGACTGGGAGCCGACCTCTCGGGCTGGAGTGGCCATTTCCATTTCCTGTGGGGAAGAGGAGGGGGATGAGGCTGGCACCCGGGGTTGAGAGCAGGTGGCAGAGGCCTCAAATGCTGGGCAAGCAAGCTTCGTCTTTCAATTCAAGGCAGTGGGAGCTGGTGAGGATGTCAGCAGAGCACCAGGGTGAAGTCAGGGAATGTCCCCCAGTGGACGGGGGTTTGCAGGGTGACTGGAGGTGTTGGGGAGTGGGAGTAGACTGTAATGGAGGTAATAAGTCTGGGGCATTGCAGCTGCTGGAGTGAGGTAACAGGTATCCCATCCCTGAAAAGTTCTCAGACAGGGGTGAGACCCCTCCTGAAGGTGAGGGGTACTAAGTGCAATACCGTGTACACGTTTCTTTTTTGTTTTTGGAAAGGCGTTCGTGGGCCGAGGGGCCCCTTTGCTTTGACCCTGGTTCCTAGATCCACTGTCTGTTGATGGACATTCTCCAGACCTGGACAGCTCAGAAAATCCAGTTCTCTCCTCCACAGGCAGTTGGTTAGTGGCCACTGAGCCATGGACAGGGAGGGGGGATGGGGAGCAGCAGACCTGTGGCCACTGTGGGTGGGCTTGGCATCAGGTGACATTCCAGCAGGCTCGGCCCAAGGCCCACTTCCGGGTACGTTTCCAGGGGGATCACCCATGGGCAGCCAGTTGTGGTGAATTAGTGTTTAACTTGCCTGCTCCCAGGCCCCTGGCTTCCTACTATAAAAACCAGGGGGTACCTACTATTCCAAGGGTCAGGCATACAAACCTAAGAGAAAAGAGAAAAGAAGACTTAGCCAGACACCATAGGCTGGGCAGTAACGAGTTAATATGGAGCCTGGGAGCAAGGAAAAATCAAATGCAAAATCTGTTTATCAGCCAGTTGTGGGGCACCCAGCTGCCTGGTACAAGATTCCAGGCACCTACCTGTCAGGGAGCCAAGGGCCTCCACCCTCAGCTCAGGGAGGGGCTGTTCTCACTTCACTGGGGCCAGGCCACCAGACCAAGGGCATTCAACTCCCGCTGCCCCCCAGGGGCCAGGTTCAGGCCTCCCACTCCCCGGAGAAGGAAATAGCTCCTGAGAGAAGGAGTCCATCAGCTGCAACTGTAATCCCTGACTCTTGCTACCCATACAAAAGGAAGTCCCTCTAGGGAGCAAAACTGACCTCTAGCCTCCTCACCCCTGTGCCCCAAGCCAGGTGGCCAAGGCCCCCTGCCCAGACTCTGAAGGTAAGGCATTGTTGGCCTGGGGCAGTAGACTTCTCCAGAAGGCACTGAGGCTTGCCTGCTCCCCAGGAAGGCCTGGTGCAGTGGGCCGGGCTGGTGTGGTGGGCAGGGTAGGTGCTAACTGTTGGCAGGGCTCCTGTTACCAGGGGAAAATCTGCAGCAGACTCCAGGGGCTGTATCGCTACTCTTACTGCTACTGTCCTGACCATAGAACAATGGACAGGCTCTGTGCCAGATGCCTAGGGCCACAAAATGAGACATGTCCCCCTCTTGAGGGCACAGTCTAACTGGGGAGATGACAGTTATCAGGCCTGATGAAGATATACTGGGGTAATGATAAGTGAACAAATGCATAAAAAGCTGTGGGTGGGGGGCGCCTGGGTGGCTCAGCTCCTTAAGCATCTGCCTTTGGCTTAAGTCATGATCTCAGGGTCATGGGATCAAGCCCTGCATCGGGCTCCCTGCTCAGCGGAGAGACTGCTTCTCCCTCTCCCTCTGCCTGCTACTCTCCCTGCTTGTGCTCGCTCTCTCTCTTTCTCTCTCTAATAAATAAAATTTTGGAAAAGAGAAAAAGCTGTGGGTAAAGAAGCAACTGCCTTTCTTTTCTGGGGAAGGTGAGGAAAGCTTCACAGAGGGTCATTGGAGCTGAGTTTTGAGGCAACAGTGATTCTGTAAAAATTTTGGTCAGAGAAGGGGGGATGGGAGGGACAGGATGTGGAAGAAGAAGGAACAGTAGAGGTGAAGGCCCAGAGCATGGCATGATAAGGCTATTCTGATAACCATAAAATAGAATTGAAAGAAGATCAGAGAAGCAGCTTCTGCAAGAAGATGGGTCTTGAATTTTGACAGGACTGAGGTTCACAGGGGATGCAAGAGGAGAGGAGAGGCTGACTTCTGGGCACCTGTGAGGGGCAGGCTTGTGCGAGGAACATTCTAGAATCAGATTCATCTGGATGTTAGGGTGAAATGTCCAGGTGGGTTTATCTCTACCATTTTACAGTAGAGGGAAGCAGAGCCCAGGCCGATGCAGCGACTTGTTTAGGTCACCCAGCTGGCAGGTGGCAGAGCTGCTTCTGACCCCTGGGCCTTGTCAGTCCCTTAGCCTCTGGCAGCTCTGAGAAGGAAGGTTGAGATGGATCAAAGTAGTTTCCATGGCCCAGCAGGAACTCAAGCACCATATAAGGGGAAAGAGGGAGCCAGGCACTCCCCCACAATCCATCAATCCAGGATCTCTCTGAAGGATGGGTGGGCAGTATCCATATGGGGTGACTTCACAAAGTGTTCATTTTTGGTGAAAACACGAGTTCACAAAGGCTTAAATGCCTATGGGTCATTAAACTGAGTGAATGGCATCTGGGGACACAGACGCCCCATACCTGGAGTCTTGAAAGACAACACACCTCTCACAGAACTTCCCTTCTAGCCAATGCAGGCTGGCTGTGTCCGGCAGCAGCCCCGAAGCCCAACAGTCTGGCTTGTGGGGGCTGGTGGGGGGTGCTCTCAAGATCCGGGATCCGGACCTCCAGTCCCACCACCCCTCACCCAGCCAGGCTTTGCCCAAGGAAGGGCACCAGGGATGGTGGAGGCTGAAAACCCTGGGTCATCTGCCCCAAGGGCCTTGCTTTGTTTCAAAGGCAGATCCTGTTCCAGAGTGAGACAGGCACCTTGAAAAGGGACTCAGCAAACCCTTTTCAGAAACCTGCCCTACATTTCCAGGGGTGCTGACCGCTCAGGGCTGGAGGGCCTCTTCCCCAGCTCCCAGCGGGTGGCCAGGCACTGGATACCCCAACTTGACCCCTGCCTGGGCAGAGACTGATTGACTGATGGGGGGGCAGGGAGCTTGCCTCTTGGGAGAGTCCTCTGCACCTGCTGGAGTTCCAGAAGCTTGAAAGCAAACTGAGAAGATGGGCTGGGTCCACAACTCCGCTCCCAGCCCGCTTCCCCTGCCCCTATCCCTGGCTCTCGGAATCGCCTTTTCACTTATGCTAATGGGCAGCTCTTTCAGCAAACCGATTTCAGCAATTCGTGTCTGGTTAATGAAAGCTACAGCCGGAGGCCACAGGGACTTACCGGCTCACTTAGGGCTTGGCTTCTGAGCGCGGGACGGGCCTGCACAGCGCCCCGCGAGGGGTCCGGGAGGCTCGGGGCGGGGGTGCAGGGCGTTAGGGGAGCGAGACGGAGAGGAACGCGCAACTTTGGCACCGGAACGCGCTCTTCCTCTTAATATTTAAGAAAGAACGGAAACAGTTCCGTGATCACCGCACTTCCGAGACCTGCAAGCGAGGGCCGGGCACAGGGAGGGAGGCAGGTTCTAGAAAACCCCGGGCCCCGCCGCCAGCCCGGGGCCGCTAAGCAAACACTCTCTCCCGGAGTCCGAAGAGCCGGTGCGCGAGGGGAGGGGCAGGCCTGAGGTTGATCGCTCCGCCAGCTCCCGCTGATTCATTGAGTCTGACTCCTGCCTGTCGTAGACCGAGGCGCACCAGCAGCCCCGGAGGTACCCCTCCCCTCTGCCCGCGCCCTCCCCCCAGCCTGCCCCCCCCCCAATCCCGGGACCAGCTGCCTCCCCTCCCCGCCCCCACCCCGGGGGCCCTCGGGGCTGTGCAAACACGCCCCGCCGCCCGCCCGGACTCTGGCTGGCTCCGACCGCGCGCTGCTGGCGATCCCCCAGGCAACTCGGCGTCACAAGAACCAGCACCCCGGAGACCCGGCGCCCTGCCCTCCCTCCGCGTCCCCTGGGCCCCGGCCAGGCCCAACAGCCTCTCCCTTCCCGGTGCGCCGCGGCCCCTCCGGGCCTCGCGTGCAAGCTAACTAGGCCCCGCCGGGCGCCCCGGGCCGCGCAGCCCACCTCCCGCGGAGCGCGCAGCCCCAGGGGAAGGCGCCCGGAAAAAATCTCCTCTTGTTTACTGGGCCGGGGACGTCCCAGACTGGATCCCCTCGCCCAGTTCGGTGGTTCCCTTTCTGCAGATTCCCGGGGCCGGAGGGGAAAGGGTGGCAACCGGCTGATCGACCCCGGGGCAGGGAGTGGGGCGTGGGGGTGGGGCGCGGAGCGGGGAGGGTACCCGAACTCGTGGAAGAGTCCGCGGGCGGCTGGAGGGCTGCGCTCGGAGTCAGGGCCGAGGCGCCCCGGAGCGCAGGGGACCGCGGGGAACATGACCGTGACGGCTAATTAGGACAAGTCGGAGCAGGGAACGGGGACGCCGGGAGGGGAGCGCGCTCAGTTGGAGGTGCTGGGGCGGTCGCGGGAAATCCAGGCGCAGGCAAGTCGGGCCCGGGGCGCCGTTTGCTCACGATCCGGAGCGGATCCCGGCCGGGCCCACCGCGGCAGGCGCGCTCGCAGCGCCCCCCCCCCCGCCCCGCCCCGCACCATGCACGTTTGGTGACCCAGGTGCCGGGGGCAAGGCCGCTCGTGGAGGAGGCGGACTGTCGGTGTGTGGTGTGTCCACGTGTGCACGCTCGGGGAGGGGAGGGGGCGCAGAAGGCGTGACAAGGACGCACTCTGTGCTGAGTGTGCGCCTCGCTTCAGCCGGGAGCAGCGACCTGTGCCCGGCGTGTGTGCCCCACGGGGGAGCCGGGGCGGAGGTGACCGAGGCTAGCTGAGACGCGCCGCGGTGGGCCCCACGCGTGTCCGCGTGTGAGCGCTGGGACATGCGGGGCGAGGGAGCGCGCTGGGCTGCACCCCAAACCGCTTTCCGGAGGGAAAGGCGAATCCTGAAAGTGAGTGCGCGTGAGTGCGCGTGAGTGCGCGCGCCCGTGTGCGGGGGCGTGGCGGTCAACAGCAACAACACTCGGGCCAGCTCCGCCAGAAACTCCGAGCTCCCTCCCCGGCCGGGAAGTGCGCCTCGCCGGAGCCTGGAGGTGAGTCGGCGGCGGGGGGAGGGCCGCGCGCGCTTTGTTACTGTGCAAACGGATTGCACATACCTGGAGCGCGGCGGCCGCCCGATAAGCGCCTGAATGGAGGTGATGTCACGGTGATGCAGGCGCCGGCCCACTCTCGCCCGGAGCAGGGAGCCGAGAGCGCGGAGAGAGAGGCCAGCCCGGCCCAGGTTCCCGGGAGAGGCAGGCCCTGCGCCCCGACCCCCGCGCGGGCCCTGCCACCCCGGGCCCGGGCCGCGCCTGGCTCCGCGCCCTCCGCCGAGCCCCTCTCCCCGCGCCCGCGCTCGCGCCCGCGGCCCGCTTGGGGCTGGAGGTGGCCGTCCCAGGTAAGGGCTGCTGCTTCCCGCCCCGCCCTCCCCTCCGCCGCCCGGAAGAGCCCGGTCGGGCCAGCCGGCCGTGCGCCAGGGCAGGAGCCCCAGGGCGGAGGACGCCGCGCCAACTCCGCTCGGGCGCGGAAACTTTGCAAACCGGAGTGGGCTGGGGACCCGGCGGGGTGGGGGTGGGGGAGCCCGGCGCTGTCCTCAACCCCACAGTCGGGGCCCCCACGGGTGGGCCGGCCTCCTCTCCGGTGCCGGTGGACGGGGAGGCCGGTGTAGACCCGAGGAACGAGGAGGGAAATTCTCAGAATCTTCCTATAGGAAGTTTGGAATCAGACCATCCAAGAGCCCCTTCTTATGGCAGCTTGGCTTCTAGATCCCTACTCCACTGCCGGCTCCTCCCTCCAGGGCTTTTCTAGGGCCCTTTGCAGCCGCAGGGGTTGGGTAGCGCCCCTCCATCCTGACGCCCGCCGCGCACTGTTACACCCCCCGAAAAGCCAATCGTTTGAAAGCTCCACGATCTTGATCCACGGGGAGCAGAATGTGTCAAAATAGGATTTTGTGCTCTTGGAGGTTCCCAACTTGTGTCTTCCTATGTGTATGTGGGGGAGGGGGCGGTTGTGGTGTGGAGCGCATTCCAGAGTGGCATTCCAGAGCAGACCCTTGAAGGCTTCCACGTTTCGGAATGCTCCGGAAATTTTGGCCCAAATGCCCACTTGATGTGGAAGTCTAGGCTGAGGTTCCCAGAAGCCCCTCCCTTCCCAACCTGGGTAGGAGGTACCTCCTAACTGCCCATCTCCAACCCCTCTTATTGGTGAGTTTAGTCACCAGAGACCACTGGACAAGGGTAAGTTGATAGGGCCTAAGTACAGGACTCCAGAAAGGCGGGGTGGGATGGGGGACATGGAGAGGAGGTGGGAAGGCTGTTGGTGGGTCCATCCATCTCTCCTGATAGGCTGCTGAGTGCTGGCAGATGAGGAGCGGGGAGAAAGGAGGATGCTCTGTGGTTTCCTGGGGTGAGCTTAGGTGCTTTTGAGAGGGGGCTGTCAGAGGTCATGGCACCCTTCAGTGTAACTGCCAGCTGTGTGTCTATATCCTAGTCATATCCTTGAGCCCGAGAGCTCTAGACCAGGGCAGTGCTTAGAAGCCCTTAGTGCCCTCTTCAGGATGGTCTCTTATGCCCTAGGGCTTCTCAGGTTCTGGTGTGAAGGGTGGGGGAGTGAAGAGGGGCTTATTCTGGAAAGGGGAGAGGGCCTGACTGCCTCTGATCCAGCCAGTCAGTGCCAGCTGGGCCTCTGAACCCACCCCACTATGCTGAGGCCTCTCTGCTTCCCTCCTGGAGAGGGAAACTGGGAGGAAGGGGATTCTGGAACTGGATTGGGCTGACTCAGACCAGAGCTGGGGGCTGAGTGGCTGAGCTGGGGAGAGGCTGATTTCAGAGGTGATTAAAAATATTTGTATGACTGATTCCAAGGAGGTGAAGCAAAAGGGCCCCTTTGTCCAGGAAATAATCCGAGAGACTGGGCTGTGCTGCAGCTGCGATGTAGGAGAAATTCATGGGGCAGGAGGAGGTCCCCCTCCCACTCCCCTCCTTGGTCCCACTGAGAACCCTGACGCAGGAGATGTGACTCCACACTGAAGAAGGCAGGGGAGAAGCAGGCACTGGGTCTGTTCAGCGAATGCTTTTTAAATGCTTCCTCTGTTCAAGGCACCGCGCTAGATGCTGCAGGGATGCTAAGATAAACCCCGTCTTCATCTTGTTCACTACCCTCACAGACCTTCCAGCCTGGTAGGGGAGACACATGCATGGAATTTTAACCATCAAGGCTCAGAAGACAGCCAGGAAGTCTAGGCTTTAGGGACTCGCAGGAGGGAGAGTCTCTTAGGCGGAGCTGGGTCTGTCTCCTTGCAGTGCCTTTCCCCTTCTCCAACGTGTAGAAGGTGGCAAGTGTTGACTGGCTGAATCTGCACTCCTGGAGGTCAAAGAACCAGCACAACTCTTCTGAGCTCCCTACTATAAATCTGCTGGCCTCCACGGATCACTGCCCTAGGCCTGAGTTGGTGTAATTCTGTGTCCATACTCACCCTTGCATTTTCCTGGGAACAGAGACATGGATCCTTTCTGGGTGGGAATGGCTTGTTTCATCTGGGGCTGGTAAGTTTTAGGGCAGCTGAGCAGCTTGGTACCTGGGCGGGGAGGAGGGGCCGGAAGAGGTTCCTCTTTCCTTCCTTGGAAGTTCCCCACATTGGTGGGGCAGAGAGCTTGCCAGGTTGCTGCATGCTGGTAAAGGTGTGTACTTCTAAGAGCAAGATGGGATCAGAAGAGTAAGTGACAGAGCTAAATGGGACCTGGCTTGGTTTGGGGGTTTTTTTGGTGGTGGGTTTTTTTTTTTTTTTTTTTTTTTTTTTTTTGTAATGACATGGTTGTTATCAGATTTAAACTTGTAGCCTAAGCTTTGGTGTCCTTTTCTCCCACCTCCAAGCAGTCCTTAGATTTTATTTGGGAAAGGATCTCTCAGATCTGGCGATTCTGGCTTTACCTTTGGCCTCGATCTTTAAACGGGTGAATGTGTCCTCAACAAATCAATTGCCTGTGCTTTTTGCCAGATTCAGATCTTAAACCACAACCCTGGTTATGCCGTCTTTGTACCAAAAAAAAAAAAAAGTCTTGCAGGGGCTCCCCATTGCCTTTAGAATAATGCCCCAGTCTCCTTCCCTGTAGCATTTCTAGTCTGTCTCCCCTTACAGACTCCGTTCATACATGAAGGTGGGCTAAGAACTGAATAAAATGCCGTTGAACAGTCTCCTCCATTCTGTCTTTCTGACCCCCTCAGCTGGAAGAGCTTCCTCCTCTGTGTTCTTGTAGCACCTTTCCCTCCCCCAGAGGCAAATTCTGTTGGGTGGCACTTAATCATTTTCTCATCGACCTACCGTATTTCTCGTACTGGATTTTATTTATTTATTTTTAAAGATTTTATTTATTTGATAGCACAAGCAAGGGGGAGCAGCAGAGGGAGATTGAGAAGTAGGTTCCCCACCAAGCAGGGAGCCTGAGGCATGGGGCTTGATCCCAGTACCCCAGGATCATGGCCTAAGCCCAAGACCGATGCTTAATGGACTGAGCCACCCAGGCGCCCCTTGTACTAGATTTTAAAAACCAGGGTCACCTGGGTGGTTCAGTCGGTTAAGTGGCTCCTTTCGGTTCAGGTCATGATCCAGGGGTCCTGGGATTCAGCCCCACGTCTGGCTCCCTGCTCAGTGGGGCCTGCTTCTCCCTCTCCTGTCTGCTGCTCCCCCTACTTGTACTCTTTTTCTCTAAATAGTTAAATAGCAAAAAAAAAAAAAAATCTTTAAAAATAATAATAAAAACCATGTCAGGGAGAAAACAACAAACAATCAAGTCAGAGGCTATATCTGTCCATCCTTGTATCTCTCAGAGCTCTGAGAACTACTGGCCTTTGTCCCCCCAGATGCATATTAAATATTTTCTGATTTGGAAAAATTGCCTGTTTTAAACTGGCCCCCAGAGCGAGGAGAGGGTGAAGTGCTTGAAGATGTGCAGATACCTGGGGGCTCAATCAGGGTGGCCTTTCTCAGGCAGGGCTTACTTCCACCTCTCCAACTTTACCACAAGTTCTGGCGGCTTTGTTATGAGCCCCAAACGCCCCAGCTGGGGTTGAATGCTTAGGAACCCATAGCATATAATCTTGCAAATGACCTCTCTCCCTGGAGTGGTTCGATGTTCCTCCTTGCCCATTAATCCTCCACCCTTCTTTCTTTCCAGCACTTGTAAATACAGTTTATGCTTTATTGATTTACGATTACACAAAGTCCCTGACAAAAGCTTATTTAAATCTCCAAGCAGGGGAAACCATGCTTTTGCCTTAAAAGTCAAGAGAAACTGAGCTCCGACCATGCAGTTAGTTTGGAAAATAATAAAGATGTTCATTTATTAAGAGTTAATGATAGGTAGTATTTGGGGGAAAAGCAAGCCTAACTGGAAAATGAAGTAGCTGAGAAGGTCGAGATACCTATGATATTTTCAAGGCGCACCTAGGACTTTGAAAATTGATGACCTTTTTTTTAAAAGATTTTATTTATTTATTCATGAGACACACACACACACACACACACACATACACACAGACACAGGCAGAGGGAGATGCAGAGACACAGGCAGAGGGAGATGCCGGCTCCATGCAGGAAGCCCAATGTGGGACTCCATCCCGGGTCTCCAGGATCACGCCCTGGGCTGAAGGCAGGCGCCAAACCACTGAGCCACCCAGGGAATCCCCCAAATTGATGACTTTTATTATGTCAGCTTCACTTAATCTTTGATTTTTTTTTCTCTTGATCCAGTAGTAGGGACTCTTCCACTTATCAGTTATGGAGTTTCTCTTGACAGACTTAGGGCTTTTGTTCACCTGTTAGAAATTAGGAAACTAGAAATGGTGAAAACTTAAGGGGGTAGACTAAGCATCACCTCCCCCAAAGGAGGAAGGGAAGGCGGGAAGAGTTGGATTATGCCATTCCCCTGCAAGCCACTAGTGGTCACTGTCATCCTGGAAAGCTTGGTTGCCATCTTTCTGGAGAGTTCTGGGGACCCAAGAAGTGAGAGAGGAGGAAGAGGCAGTTAGAACTAATTAGTTCAACATAAGGGTGGTTTTATGTATGTGCTTGGATTTCGTAGTATTTTTGAACCTGGCTGTTTAGAACATTGAGGTTCTCTGTTCTCCGAGTAAATCTAAAGTCTCACCTGCCAGACTCTTTACCTCCACTTCGCACTGGGACAGTCCAGGTGGTGTCGAGAGCAGGGGTTCCGTGTCTTTGCCGCTCATCTATAGCACTTGGTAGAGCCGCCCATCGGGACTGGTCAAATGAGTAGTACGTAGGGTACCTTTCTGGCGTGAATGAAAGGTCTCTTTTGTGCCTTTTAGCTACAATGCCTTAAAGACTTCTGTGACAGATGAGTTCCTTTGGGGTTTGCATTGCCCTTCCCCATTCTTGCTTTTAAAATGTTAATGCCTCATAGGAGGATTTTTGCGTGAAGTCATTAACTCCCTAGCTGAGACATTATTTTATCCTTGACTCCAGCAACTGAGCTAGACAAAGAAGTTTGGATTCTGAAGAGGAGAGGAGAGCTGGGCTGGGCGGGGGGGGGGGGGGGGGGGGAGTGGGCAAAGGGAGGTGGTGGGTAGGAATCCAAGAGGAGTGGTCTCTTCATTTTTTCCAGATGCAGGTCATGCCTGTCACGGGTGCTCGTGATGTGCCTGTTGTGTGAATGAGTGGATGGCTGATTGGCCATGGACGTGGGCATCACCGGGGCGGAGTTGAAGAGCACGGTGGTCGGCCTGCTGAACTCAGAGACTCTCAGGGCAGAGAGAAAGTGCTAAATGGATGATAAGCTTGGTTTTGACTTGCTCCCAAGCCCTTTCACGCCCAGCTCAAACTGCAAGAGCTCGGGGGGATATTCAGATGCCAGTTATGGTTGAGGAGAGAGAAACCTAAAAATTCAGTGACAGATGCCTCCTTTTCCATGACTGGGGACAGAGATGACCAATGGGCTTCATCTCACGTGCTTCCCTCATCAGTTGATATGCCTCCCGGGACTTCTGTGTCAAGAAGGGTTCTGAAGCCCAGGGGGACAGTCTCATGATCAGCTTGCGCTGTCTGCCTTGAATCAGGCTAGGGGAAAGCAAGTGACTGGTGTGTCAGCGTCTGGCCTTGGAGGACTGATTTTGCCTTTTCTCTCGGTCTCTCTCTCTCTCTCTCTCTCCCTCTCCCTCTCTCCCTCTCCCTCTCTAGGGACCCAGCTGGAGCCTGGCCTGGGAGCCAGGATGGCCATCCCCAAAGCCTTGCTGACATGCCTGGGGCTGCCTCTCTTCCTATTCTCAGGGGCCCAGGCCCAGAACCATGTGCCACCTGGCTGCAGCCCGGACCTCAACCCCCTCTACTACAACCTGTGTGACCGTTCTGGGGCTTGGGGCATCATCTTGGAGGCAGTGGCCGGGGCGGGAGTTGTCACCACTTTCGTCCTCACCATCATCCTTGTGGCCAGCCTCCCCTTTGTGCAGGACACCAAAAAGCGGAGCGTCCTGGGGACCCAGGTGTTCTTCCTGCTGGGGACCCTGGGCCTCTTCTGCCTCGTGTTCGCCTGCGTGGTGAAGCCCAACTTCTCCACCTGTGCCTCCCGGCGGTTCCTCTTCGGAGTCCTGTTCGCCATCTGCTTCTCCTGCCTGGTGGCGCATGTCTTTGCCCTCAACTTCCTGGCCCGGAAGAACCACGGGCCCCGGGGCTGGGTGATCTTCACCGTGGCTCTGCTGCTCACCCTTGTGGAGGTGATCATCAACACCGAGTGGCTGATCATTACGCTGGTCCGGGGCGGTGGCGAGGGTGACCCTCTGGGCAATGGCAGTGCCACCTGGGTCACAGCCTCCCCCTGCGCCATCGCCAACATGGACTTTGTCATGGCACTCATCTACGTCATGCTGCTGCTGCTGTGCGCCTTCACGGGGGCCTGGCCTGTCGTGTGTGGCCGCTTCAAGCGCTGGCGGAAGCACGGGGCCTTCGTGCTGCTCACCACGGCCACCTCCATTGCCATATGGGTGGTGTGGATTGTCATGTACACGTACGGCAACAAGCAGCGCAACAGCCCCACCTGGGATGACCCCACGCTGGCCATCGCCCTCGCCGCCAACGCCTGGGCCTTCGTGCTCTTCTATGTCATCCCTGAGGTCTCCCAGGTGACCAAGGCCAGCCCAGAGCAAAGCTACCAGGGGGACATGTACCCCACCCGGGGCGTAGGCTACGAGACCATCCTGAAAGAGCAGAAGGGCCAGAGCATGTTTGTGGAGAACAAGGCATTTTCCATGGATGAGCCAGCCTCAGGTAGGTGAAGGGACACCCTCCCCGCTTCCCCTATCACTCCACATCCTTGACCGCAGGACAGGACTGGGGCACTGGTCTCCCGAGCAAAATGAAGGTTCTCGAATTATCACTAGGTTTCTGCCTTAAAGTCCCTAAAGTCCATTAAAAAAATTTTTTTTCTCTATACTCCTGTGGTTCACAAATGTATTTTCACTATAAAATTTCAAACACCACAGGTACAATTCCTCCCCAGCTGTCTTCCCAGTTTACCCCGTTCTTTCCTGTGCTGTGCCGCCTCTGACCCATCGTTTACCTCCACGTGCCTCCGTTTCCTCATCTGCAAAATGGGGAGGAGGATGGTCCCTGTTAAATAGGGTTCTTGTGAAGATTACGCTAATGCCTGTGCCTGGCACTTGGAAAGTACCCTAGAAGTATTAGCTATTAGCTGTGTGGGTTACTGTCATTTTACTATTATTACAACTACCCTTCCAGGACTTGTTTTTCTATTATGCACATATTCATAGTCTTCGTTTCCTTTAAAAGTCTTCTCAGTTAAGATGTTGTTCTTTTTTTAAGATTTATTTATGTGTTTTAGAGAGAGCGTGCACCCGAGAGCACACGTACAAGCTAGGGGAGGGGCAGGGGAAAGGGAGAGAGAGAAGCAGACTCCCTGCTGAGCGTGGAGCCCCACACAGGGCTCCATCTCACGACCCCGAGATGGTGACCTGGGCCAAAATCGAGAGTTGGACGCTTAACCAACTAAGCCGCCCAGGCGCCCCGATTTTGTTCTTTTTAAGAAAAGCACTGTGCCACATCCTGATCTAAGCAGCACCCACTATCCAGCTGGCTTGCCCCCAAGCTCCTATCCTGGCTCGTTGTTAATGGGATGGGGCTTTCCTGTTGGAGCCCAGCACGAGGCACCAGCCAGCCCTGCAGCCTCGGAGGGGTCAGGCTGAGGGCGTCCTAGAAATGGAAGAGGCCGGAATGGGTGAAGTTTCTGCAGCCTGTGCCAAGCCCCCGTGGGGAGAAGTTTGAGAAGCAGGTGGGGGAGGTGGGGGATGCTTCTCTGGGACATTTGGCCAGTTGAGCTCCCAGCTTCCAAAAGGAAGAATATTTCTCTGGCATTTGTTGATTGTAAGGACCACTGGCATTTATTGAGCACCTACTGTGTGCCACATGCTGTGCCTTTCCTGATGTGTCCTGTGGCACGCTGTCCTCAGCCAGCTGGCTACAGGCCCCTTTAGCTGACATGACTGGGAACTGGAGGTCAGAAGGACTGGGACAGACCCCTGACCCCAACCCCAGACTGGGCTGATCAAGATGTTTGGGGACTTAAGACTTGAACTGCTTGACTGTGGGTCTCCAGCTCTGGGGTCTCTGCCAGAAGTCTGAGTCAGAGACCGGGGAACTTCCAGAATCAGAACTCTCTACAAACTGAGATCCCCATCATCTCTGTTTTGAAGAAAGGAGTGACCCTCATCCTGCCTGGCACCCAAGCCCTGATCTGCCCAGCGGGGTGGCCCCCGGTCCACATAGAGTGGGACCCCAGAGTGGGGGCGGGGCTTGTGCACACACACCTGCTCTCGCCCTGAGCCTGGCCATGAGGCCCGCGGAGTCCTCAGCCTTTGTCCTCTCAAGGCAAACACTTCTGGGCTGTGAGGGTTTTTTTCTTTCCTTTTTTTTTTTTTTAAATCTAAATGGAAAAATCAATCGAGTGGGCCCAGCACTTAGGAAGCCAGGCCTAGCCGTGGTCCCTCAGAGCTGCGGGCCATCAGCCTGCAGGAGACACACACCCACCTGCCACCCTTACGGCACAGCCTGGTCTTGGGCCCCTAGGGGTTGCTTGCCAGCTTTCCCCAGATTCCCTGGGAACCCCAGCAGGATAGAAGCAAATCTGGACGACTGCATACCCAAAGGCATGGCGTGGGGAGGTATTCCCGGAGCTGAAAATAGTTCTGGAAACTTGCCAGGGTGCCACAGGACAGGATGTACCTTCAGTCGTCCTGGTGGGGCTCTGGGTTTTGGGGTCCTGGAGGATCAGCAGTCACCTGTGCCCTGGGACAACATGAGGAGTCTCAGGCTGTGGGGGCTCTCCCTGCTTCCCCTATCGCCTGGCAGCTGGCCTGCAGTGGGAAAGGCCAGAGCTGGAGCCTGGCCATCTAGGAAGGCCCATGTGCCCCTCTTGGCCTCTGGCCCCCGAGGGCGGATGGGGATGTGAAGGTTGCTGACAGGAGCATTTTTCTTTGCTGAAAGGGGGGGGGGGTCCTCACACTGCAGGAAAGCCAGAGCGGAAGGCAGGCAGCATCGTGCTCTCCTTGACTCCTGACAAAGGCACGCTGGTCTCTGCAGGGGCCCCCACACCTGCAGCCTCACCCCCAGGTTGGCCACCCCTGGCCAGGCTTCCTCGCTGGGTTAGATGTACTCCCAGGGCAGACGAGCCCCCTCTTCCCTGCCCGTGCCCCCTGGGAGCCTTGCCTGAGAGCCCAGCCCCCAAACCGCACCTGCGTTTCTTTGCAGCTAAGAGACCGGTGTCACCATACAGTGGGTACAACGGGCAGCTGCTGACCAGCGTGTACCAGCCCACCGAGATGGCCCTGATGCACAAAGGCCCGGTGAGTCGGGTCCCACATGTCTGACCCTGCCGGGGCCACGGAGCCCAGCCCGAGCGGGCTGGTGCAGGCTGGGGTGGAGGTGGTAGGGAGGAGGCAGGCTTCTCTGTCTGCTGTGGCAGCCTCGGGAACGGAGCCCTCGGCTCCTGATGCCCGCTTCCTGGAGCCGATATACACGTCGCCTTCAGCTGCACTACAGGGGGACCTGCCCTGGGTCACGGGGCATCACACAATGACCCGGGCCCCGGGCTGGTGGGAGATGCCAGCTTTACCCGCAGGAGCTTAGGGAGGGAGAAAGCAAGGTTTCAGCCAGGTGGGGGGGTGTCATTCTTTGGTGCCCCCCAAAGGCACAGAGGACCAAAAAGCAGGTCTGGGTAAGTACTTACTCCTCAACCACAGCTGTCCCAGGAGGGCCTTGGCTTCCCTCCCCGCACAGGCAGGCGGCAGCTCTCAGTTCTCGACCTCACGCCTCCCCTGGGTTCTGGAAACCAGATGCTCCATTAGCCAGTGGGGGGTTGGGAACAGGAAGACAGTGGGTTAGATTCTCACTCGCTCCATATATGTTCCTCCTCCCGGGCTGGCAGTCGCTGGGGGGAGAGGTCAGTGACCTGCCTTGGCAGGACTCTGGGAACAGGAAACGAAGGAGGTCGGCAGGGTGGTGTTCTCACCCCCTCTCCCTGGCAGGGTGGTGTTCTCACCCCCTCTCCCTGCCGTGAGCACCCCCCCCCGGGGGTGGGGGGCAGGGTACAGTGAATATCTGAAACTTCCAGCTCCAGCCCCTAAGCTGAACCTACAGCTAGGCGCTGGGAGGGGCAAGGAGTCTCTCTGAAGGACAGGAGCAGAGTCTCCTGGTCACAGTCACTCAGGCTGTGGACCCCCCACCCCCACCCCAGGATCCTTCCTCCAGGAGCTGTCCCACCCTTGCCACCCTTCACTCCTGATCACATAGAGTCCTGCTTCCTGGGCAGGGGGCGGGGCGGGGGGGGAAGGATCCAGACGTGGTCCCCCAAACCCCCAGCATTACCATCACCTGGGAACCTGCTGAAAATGCAAATTGTGTAAGGCCAGTGGTGGGATGGGGCTGCTGGTTAGCATCTCTCCGGTGGTATCATCTAACACGGAATCTGCCGGAGTCTCCCAGGATGGGAGTAACCACCCCAGAGATCAGCAAAGACCACAGATGGGGGCTCCCTTCCTCCCCACCCCAGGTAAACATTTACTGAGCCACCACTGGGTGGAGCCTGACTAGGTGTGGCTGCAGCTGGGGCTGAACTGAGTGCCCAGGTGATTCTGATGCACACCCAGGTTTGAGCCCCACCCACCCAGATGTTCCAGGAGCTACTAGGGGCTGGTGAGCTGGGGGGACTGCAAACCAGTGGGAGGACCACCTGGGTCTGATTAGACGGAAGGTGTCTTGGGGCCCTGGAGTGCCAGGAGTTAGGGATAAGGCCAGTGAGGCCAGAAGTTCACCTGCCCTCCAGATCAGGAGCTGGGATGGGTGCCTCTGGACCCTCCTCACCTCACAGCCGTGTCTGCCCCACACGGGAGGAGGGCCGCTGCAGCTCTAGCCAGGTTCCAGGCAGAGAATTTGGGCTTTAGGTCTCCACATCTGACAAGCCCACCCAGGCTTTGAGATAAGAAATGTGGGCAGGCCAAGCTGTCCTCACCCAGGCAGACCCACAGCTCTGATGCCCCTGAGTGTCCTGTTGCCATTTGAGGACTCGGGGAAGAGTCTGGGGAGAAGGGAGCCTGGGAGCATCAGCAGGCAGGTAGTAGAACTCACTGTGCTTCACTGTCCACTGGGCCCCAGGATTTCCCTCAGGAATTGGGAGCAGGAGGGAGGGGGCTTGAGAAGAGGATCCTTCTGAAAATAGGGAAGCCCCAGGGCCATCCGAGGTGACCAGAAGCTTCTTCCCATGCCCAGAGGCCTGGCACTCTGCGGGTGAGGGAGGGGGCTCGAGGTCAGGCCAGCCCCTCCGCTTCCAGAGGTGGAGTCACCCATCCCAGGCCACCGCTGGGGCCCTGCTGAGGGGTGAGGGGAGCAGGGAAGGGGGAGCTGGCAGGCGCTGCCCTGCAGGAAGCAGAGTGTTTGTGTGTCCGCCCTGGCGGAACCTGGCTGTGAGACCTCCTGTCCTTCCTTCCAGTCCGAAGGAGCTTACGACGTCATCCTCCCACGAGCCACCGCCAACAGCCAGGTGATGGGCAGTGCCAACTCCACCCTGAGGGCCGAAGACATGTATGCGGCCCAGAGCCACCAGGCAGCCACGCCACCGCCACCGAGAGACGGCAAGAGCTCCCAGGTCTTTAGAAACCCCTACGTGTGGGACTGAGTCGGCGGCCAGGAGGAGGCGGGCAGATTTTGGGGAGGGCGCTGGGGACGTGGCCTGGGTGAGGAGCCCACTGCTCTCCTACGGCTCCCGGCCCCTCAGTGGCTCTGGAAAACTGCCTCAGAGCCGGAAGGCCAACCCTGGCTGCCAGTGTCTGGGTGGGTGTCCCCGGGGGGCCCCCTCACCCATTCCTTAGTGTTTGTGGAGTCCAGGAGCCAGTCCCGGCTTTGTACTCCAGCCAGATAGTGTTCTTCTTGGGTGATGGCCGGTCAGTGCCAACACTTTCTGGAGTCTTCCGAGGGATTCCTGCAGCCTCGAGAGATTGCTCAGGCGCGTCTGTCCTGGGTCTTGCTCCTCTGTGAGGAACAAGGGTGCCTAATAAACACGTTTTTGCTTTACGAGCCCTTCCTCTGGGAATGTCGTTTCTGGCCTGGGCTCTGGGCCACTGATGAGCCTCCTCCTCCGTGGGCCGTGGGTGGTTCCTCTCTCTCCCCCCAAAACCGGCTCACGTGAAAGCCACTGCGCCTTTTTCTTCCCGTGCAATCGAGTGGCTGACACCTGCCTACAGGGAAGGTGTCTTTAGCTGAGCCTGGGTATCATGTCGTGTGTGACTGGAGTGACCTTTCGGGCCCAGCTCCTGTCCAGGGTCTAGTCCAGCATCTGGGTTTACCTGAGATGAGGCAGCTTTCCTCCAGGACCCCCTCCACTGGCCATGCGTGTGAGGCCAGGGCAGGCCCACCATCAGGTGGCTCTGCCGGGGTGGGAGTGGGGGTGTAGACCAGCTTCAGCCCCCCTTGGGGGAGGATGGCCATTCAGGTCCTTCAGGGGACGCGGTGGAGAACCACCGGCCTGTGCTATGAGGTCGTGCTGTGCTTGCATGGGTGGAAATGCACGGCTCAGAGAGCGCCGGCACCTGTTTACAAAGTGGGTTTCCAAAGGTGGAAAGGGTCGGCCCGTTCCGGTCGGCTTCATTCCTGGGCAGTTATTAACATGTCCATTGGCTCAGGCCCTGATGGTAAACAAAGCCTTTCCACATCAGCTCCTTTTACACCTCGTGGCTGCCAAAAGGTGGACAGGACAGCATTCTGTCCTCTATCCAGAGTCAGAATCCCAGAATCGTGCCATTTTAGGGTTGGATGTGGCCTTAGAGGCGGGGTAGCGGTGTCCCCCTCGCGGCCCCTGGCACAGGGAAGCACCCTGACCCAGAGAGGCCCCAGCGGCCCCAGAGGTGGCCACACCAAGACCGGCCCGGTTTTCTTGAGCCCTGTCTTCCGAGGCCCACCCTGGGACCCAGCCCGGGGCCTGGGCCTGGATGAGCAGCAGCGCTCTGACCCTTGGACACCGGCCCCGGGCTTTGCAAAGGGGCTGCCAAGCCCGCCCCTCCCGGGCTTGGGAATGTTTCTCCGCAACGAGTCAGAAGCTATTTTCTGACACCGGTCGTAGGGGGGAGAAAAATGTCTCTGTTGGAAGGGAGAGAAAGGTTGCCGGAAGAAAAACAAACTTCTCCCAGAGTTTCCCTTCGATGTCAGATTGCACCAGCCCCTCTGGGACTCGGCCACTGTTTTTAGTAAAAGGCCCCAAGCAGTAGGGTCCCCGTTGACGCTTGTTCTTTCTGGTTACTTTAGGCTCAGTCCCCGCAAAGTAAAACAAGATGGTAGAAGCCCTCTTCTGGCATCCCAAGGTCCGGGCTGGGCAGGGCCCAGCACCTTTCCCGTCCTTGTCATTGGAGCTGGGAGGGACCGGAGGCCACCAACCTGAAGCTGAGGACTGAGCGGGGGGGCCTGAGATGCCCGGAGGTGTGGGGCTGGGGCCCTAGGCCATTCCCTTTGCTGCCCCTCCCGGCCTCTCCTGAACCCTCAGTGACAAGGCCATGAGGATCTACAGAACTGGCCGGCCCGCCTCCGTCCCCCTCGGCGCCCTGCCCCCAGTCAGCCCATGCGTCCCCATGCTGTGGTTCTCCAGATGGCCAACCTCAGATGCCCCGTCTTCCCACCATGGGCCTTCCTGGCTGTCCTGCTGTCCAGCATCAGCTTGTCCCGCCTGCACCTGGGTGTTTGGAGCCAAGCCCTGGCGGAAGTGGGCTTTCTCATCAGGGCCTCCTGCCACCACCTGGACCGAGGAAGGCCCCCGGGCTGGGACAGCTCAGCCCGAGGCCTAGGCAGACACTGCTTCTCTTCGTGGCCCGTGGGTGCTGGATCTGAGCCCCTTTGGTGCTTCCCTCACGTGCCCCCGCACGCCATGGCCCCATGCCTTCCCCACCTGCAACGAACTGGGGCCCATCGAGACACAAGGTGGGGCTTGGGGCTGCATTCTCAGGGGCCAGCTGAGAGTCCTGGATCACACCGGCTGGGGGCTCAGCTGCTCACAGAACTGCGACTCGTGCCATTGCCTGCCGGGCAGGTGCACAGATTTCTGCCTCACCTCGGGCACCCCAAGCGTGCTGGCACTGTTCTCTCCCACGACATGCTCCAAAGGGTCCTGACAGCCACCCGGGGAAGTGGAGGTCATCCTTAGGACCCGATGATGGTGGCACTAAGGACAGAGATGTGCCCAGCTTCGGACTAACAGGAATGAGATCTCTATAGCATCGTTGTCTCCCGGTTTTGTCTTGCACCTGGGGGCCAGACAGAGCTGGCTGGTCCAAAGGGGCCTCCCCAGGCATGCCCCTGGAGCTCCGTGCTCAGCACAGAGTCCCCTCTGGATGCCCAGGGTGGGAGAGAGAACAAGACCGGCCTGACCCTGCCCTCCGTCGACCCGCAGCTCTCCAGTGCCACCCTCCTGCCCCCAGCAGCCTGTGCCTTTGTTACTGGAGTATCTTTCCAGAGCTAAATTGGGCTAACACGCCCTACAGAGTGTAGGGCCACACAGCTGCCTGTGACAGCCCCCCTAAACGCCCCCCATCACCACTATTGCCCGATCACAGCTCCATGAACGGAGTATTACTTCCCTCTGATGGAGGGGAAGAGGGAGCTCTGTGCACCTCAGACATTTCTTGATCTAGGTTAGTGGCCCCAAGGTCCCTTACAGTGAATAATAAAGGCACTGTCTTGCTTTTTTCGAAGCAATAGTCTCATGTGAGTCCTGGCCCTGCCAGGCGGCCATGAAGAGCAGCCTGCAGTGAATGTGGGTTTGTTCCTAGTCTTGAGTCCTCTGGGGATCTGAGTGTTGGCTTGGGAAGGATGGGCTCCTGAAAGCTCCAGGCCCGCCTGGCTCAGGGATGCCCAGTGGCCCCACTCCCTCTAGTCCTTGGCCAAGTGGAGGAGACAGGTGTGTTTTTCAGCAGAGAGATGCTTTCCCCCAAGGGGTCCAGCTATATCACAAACGAGCTTGGAATGGAAGAAAACCAGAGAGCAGAACCTATTGCAGGGAATATCAGAATGACACCGATACATTTCACGCCCACTCCGTCAAGCCACTCAGCTCCGAGCAGAGTGGTTTGGACCCTAACTGCTCAGAATTAAAGGGCCTTATCCTGGTTCAGAGGAATGACTATCACAGAATCCCCATGTGTTCACTGAGAATTTTTCTAGGATTTAATACATATATTTTTAAAAGATTTTTATTTATTTATTCATGAGAGAAAGAGAGGGAGAGAGCCAGAGACATAGGCAGAGGGAGAAGCAGGCCCCCTGCAGGGATCCCAACGTGGGACTCCATCCCAGAACCCCAGGATCACGCCCTGAGCCAAGGCAGATGCGCTCAACCGCTGAGCCACCTAGGTGTCCCTAACAAACACACACACACATATATTTTTTTAAGATTTTATTTATTTATTCATGAGAGACAGAGGCAGAGACACAGGCAGAGGGAGAAGCAGGCTCCATGCAGGGAGCCCGACGTGGGACTCGATCCCAGGACTCCTGGATCACGCCCTGGGCTAAAGGCGGCGCTAAACTGCTGAGCCACCGGGGCTGCCCCCTAACACGTATTTTTAACCCAGTCTCTCCCTTCTTGACCAACAAAGGCTGTTTGATTCCAACTAAGTTTTTCTGGGTTGGAGATTTATTCTAAGGGAGGAAACCGGGCCTCGGGAAACAGCCAAGATGTATGCCCATCCCCATCCCTGCCCCCACAAAGTCTGGGCAAATAGGGATGAGGCAAGAGAGGGGGACAGCCCCTCTCATAGTTCTGCTGCTGCCTGGCATGCTGGAGGGGCACCACTGAATGAGATACTGGGGTTGTGGGAAGGCAGAGCTGGGTCAGGGGATGATCAATACCCCTGCTGAGGACCTGCCAGGGGCCACACCCAGCATTCCAGTTTATACTGGTTTACACTGGCTCCGGGCACTTTCTCACTCCTCACATAAGAGCAGCGAGAAACTGGTGAAATGACTTGCCCGGGGTCATGCCCTCCAACCCTTTGTCACTAAACTTTCTCCAGCCCCGTGGGATGTGCCGAGATCAGGCTCAGGTGGAAGAGATCAGATTTTGTTTCCTGTCTGCTGCGTGCCTTCTGGGCCCTCCCGGAAGCTGCAGCCCCCCGCTTCACAGCAGCCACATGAATTATTTAGCATCTGCTCCAGCTGGGTAATGCTCTGACCTCATCCTCATCCTTGGGCTGAGGGCGCGGCTCTGACCTTCCTCTCCTTGGAGAAGGGATATTGATGGATGAAGGCTGGGGTGGTGGGTCCCTCTGTGGGGTGTGGGTGACTGCACGGTACAGGGAAGGAAGCGAGGACCAGAAGCCAACTGCCCTTTGAGCAGGAGGCGGTTCTGCAGAGAGAACATGACCTAGGAGCCAGACAGCTGTGGGACTGGATCCCAGGCTCTTGCTTCCCAGCTTTGTGACCTTGGGCAGCTCAGTTTCCTGGTCTGTAAAATGGAGGTACTAACAGCCTGAGTTCATATTTCATTTCTAGTTCCTCAAGGTCACTCCGTGAGAGTCCCCCAAGGCAGAGCATCCAGGAGCTAGCTGTCCAGGGCTCTGTCCACTGCTTTCAAGGCCAGATTTCACTGTGTTCTGGCCTCCAGAGGTGCCATTTTCCCTTTTCTCTGTTGTCCCTCAGGTATGAGGTCCCCAGAGTGGGTGGGATAGCAAGTTGCCAGGATTGGAGGGAGATGCTAAGGAGAGGGACAGGCCCTGACTGGCAGGGGTCGGTGTGGTGTTAAGAGGGTCACCTGGGGCCCAGACGTCAAGGCGCCAGGGTGAAGAGCGGAGATTGAACCGCCTTCAGGCAACAGCTAATGTTTATTGAGCTCCTGATCTGGGGACAGAGAGAAGTACGGCCTGGTCCCTGCCCGCTGGGGGCTAGCAGCCTCAGTCCAGGCCAGGGCTGAGGGGACGGGGGAGAGCCGGCTCCCTCCTGGATCCCTAAGGGTCTGACATCCCGCTTCCTCGCTCCTCAGAGCGGACCTCGTGGACCTCGTTCTTGCTGGCTCCTCCGACTTGCTTTCCTCATCCATAAATTGCATCCTGGGCAGCCCGGGTGGCTCAGCGGTTTAGCGCCGCCTTCAGCCCAGGGCGTGATCCTGGAGACCCAGGATCGAGTCCCACGTTGGGCTCCCTGCATGGAGCCTGCTTCTCCCTCTGTCTGTGTCTCTGCCTTACTCTCTGTGTCTCTCATGAATAAATAAATAATATCTTTAAAAAAAATATATATAAATTGCATCCTGAGCCTCCAGCTCTGCGTTAGCCCCGGAATCGGGGACCCCAGCTGTTGAAGGGGACCTCGAGGCACACGCTGTGCTGAGGATGCGCCTGCGGGGCCCGGACTCAAGGGCTGGCGCAGAGCTGGGTGGACGCGCAGCCGCGGGGAGCCCCTGCAAACCAGGGCCCCGGGGAGTCCCATTCTGGCTCACCGCCCCCCGGGGGGCACGAAGAAGTCAGCTTCAGCATTCGACGGCGCCCGCGAAGATTTTATAGGGTCCCTAACCGAGCGCTCCAGCCGCGGCCCTGCCCTCCTGGGCTTGGGGCGCACCGCGCGGTGCCCGGCTCCCTCCGCAGCCTCTGCACCCAGCCCGCCGGCCCCCACGCACCTGGGGGGCTGGGACGTGGGGGTGCGGTCGACTCGGAGCTCCCACGTCCCTCCCGTGGGGGTCCGCCCCCAGCCCCCGGCCTACCCGAGGCCGACCCCCGCGCCCCGCCCCACCCGAGGCCGACCCCCGCGCCCCGCCCCGTGCGCCCTCGCGCCCCGCCCCGCCTCCCCCGCCCCCTGCGCCCTCGCGCCCCGCCCCCGCCTCCCCCGCCCCCTCGCGCCCCGCCCCGCCTCCCCCGCCCCCTGCGCCCTCGCCCCCGCCCCGTGCGCCCTCGCGCCCCGCCCCGTGCGCCCTCGCGCCCCGCCCCGCCTCCCCCGCCCCCTGCGCCCTCGCCCCCGTCCCGTGCGCCCTCGTGCCCCGCCCCCGCCCCTGCACCCTCGCCCCGCCCCCTGCGCCCTCGCGCCCCGCCCCCTGCGCCCCTCCCCGACATCCCTGCAACCTGATCCCCGCCGCCCGGGCGAGCCGGCCCCGACCGGCTGGCTCCGCTTCCGCGGGCGGCTGGGGGTTGGTGGTGAGGCAGGGCTCGCCGGCCTGGGGCCTGGCCCAGACCCTCTGCTTCCGGCTCAGCCCCCGGTCCGGGGCGGGGCGGGGCAGGGGGGGGTTGCCGTCGCCTGTGACCTTTTTCCTGTTTCCTCCTAGGCTGTGAGCCCCCGACCCAGGCCTACACCTACAGCGGTCCTCCCTGTGTCTCTGGGCCCAGCACCCAGCGGGGGCCCAGGCCTGCAGGTCTTGGTTCCCTTGGTTCCAGGAATCCCCTCGGAGAGGCCCGCTGGGCTCTTGTTTGCATGGGTGGGTGCACTGGGGCCTCGGGGCACAGGGTGCCCCAGTGCTGCCCTGAGTCTGCCTGTAGGACAGGGTTCCTCAGCCTTGAACCACTGAAATTTGGCCCGGATCATTCTTTGTGCCAGGTGTCGTCCTGTGCATTGTAGGATGCTGAGCAGCATCCCTGCCCTCCCCTCCACTCCACTCGGTGCTCAGCAACAATACCATCCCCTAGTTTTGGACACAACCAAAAGTGTCCCCAGACATTGCCCAGTGTCATTTGGGTGGAGTGAACACCCCTCTGGGGGATTATAGGGGACATAGAGCCTGCTGTAAGCCCGTAAGCAGGGCACTGAGTCTAAACTGGGAGCTTCTGCCAGCCAGGACTCTGATCCAGGTATTCCTGGATCCCCTTCTCCACCCTGGTTTACAGACCCCCCCAGGCCCACCTAGAGACTGTGACCCTAAGCCTGAGAACACTTGGGCAGCATGCGACCAGCCAGTTCCTCTCACTGTGCAAACACCTTTTGGGCTCCTGCCCTGATGTGGGTGTTGAGCGGAGCCCTGGCACAGAAAAACTCCGGTGTTTTTCTGCCACTAGCAGTCAGTGTAGATGTGTTAGAGATTGATTGGACGTTTAGGTAGTCAGCCCAGGGTCCCCAACTAGAAAGCAAAAAAGCCAGGACAGCTAAGACAAAACCGCACTAGCGTCCTGTTTTACAGCTTAGCACCACAATAGCATCCTGTCTAACTGCCTCTACAGGAGTGACCTTTGCAAAACATCCTAAGACAAAACAATTCACCCTAAACCATGGGTCACTATCACAAGTTGAGGCAGTTAGTCTCCAGATGTCAGTCCAAAAGGCCAGCGACAGTGAACAATAACCCGGTAGGTAGACAGGTGCGCGATCAAAGCCCTGATGGGCACACCTCAGCGGCCCCGTCCACAGGAGTCCCACTCAGGATGCTCGAGATAGTTCCTCCATAGAGCTTACAAAACCCTTTAGCTTTGAACACCAAAACAGCAACCCTCTCGGGTCCCCTCCCTCTCTGGGAGCTTTATCCTATCACTCAATAAACTTTGCTGCTCCTCTCTTCTTCCTCTGGTCTACCTCTTCATTCTTCAAAGAAGCACGACCAGGCACCTGGCACTGACGGCACACAAATCCTGTCAACAGTTGGGCATGGGAAAGAGACAGGATGTGTCCATCAAGCAGCCTCAGGGGTTCCTGGATCCGAGGTGGGGCAGCAGGTGCAGTGGGCTGAGGCCACCAGCTGAGCCCTGGGGCTGTCAGCTCCGAGGGTTAGGGGAGCATCCTGGTC